TGTATTATCTTCCTTTGCAGAAGAGAACAATTTTATCGATGAAATAAAGAAATCTGCTTTCGCTTATGCGTGTTTTACCCATTTCATATCCACGCTCTACATCAGTTGGTATCAAAGACCAGCGACGATCCGCGATGCCGCCCAAGCGAGATAACGTTGATGATCGTTTCCAACGAATGGAAGAGCGATTCCAAGGAGTGGACGACCGATTTACGGAGCTCTCGTCGGGGATCTAAGAGATTCGACTGGCTATGTGTACAATGATGGAGGAGGTGCGTACGAACCGCGACGCCAGCTATGCGGTCCTGGCCTTGTTGATCCCGAAGAAGGACGGGGCGTGGCGCATGTGCGTTGACAGTCGGGCGATCAATAAGATCACAGTCAAGTATCGTTTTCCTATTCCACGTTTAGATGACTTGTTAGATCAATTGCATGGTGCCACAGTGTTCACCAAATTGGACCTTCGTTGCGGATATCATCAAATTCGTATTAGGCCCGGGGATGAGTGGAAAACTGCCTTCAAAATTTGCGAGGGCCTTTTTGAGTGGATGGTGATGCCATTTGGGTTGTCAAACGCGCCGAGTACCTTTATGAGGGTAATGAATCAGGCTTTGAGGGATCTTATCGGTCGGTGTGTCGTCGTTTATTTCGACGATATACTTATTTATAGTCGCTCGTTGGAGGAACATTTGGAGCATGTGCGGTCGGTGTCACTTATTTTGCGAGCCGAGTCTTTTTTTGCCGCACCACAGAAGTGTTTTTTCATGGGGATTCTGTCCTTTTTTTGGGGTTTGTTATCTCGGCTGACGGTATTCGGGTCGATGAGGGTAAAGTGGCGGCCATTCGAGATTGGCCGACTCCGACTTCTTTCACCGAGGCACGCAGTTTTCATGGTTTGGCCTCTTTCTATAGGCGATTCATTTCTCACTTTAGCTCTCTCATGGCCCCGATCACGGACTGTCTCCACGGGAAGACATTTTCTTGGACCTCGGCTGCAGCTGATGCCTTTGTTCTCATCAAGAACGTCGGCCCCCGTGCATGTATTATCCGACTTTGCCCGCCCTTTCGAGCTTTCATGCGATGCCTCCAAGGTTGGGATTGGGGCCATCCTTAGCCAGGATGGATGACCGGTGTCCTTTTTCAGTGAGAAGTTGTCTGGGCCGAGATTACGGTACAACACTTATGACGTTGAGTTCTACGCGGTAGTTCGGGCGGTTCACCATTGACGCCACTATCTTTTTCATCGGGAGTTCATTTTATACACCGACCATGAGGCATTACGCCATTTAGCATCCCAGGATAATATTTCGACGAGACATGCGTCCTGGACAGCTTTCCTGCAGCAATTCACTTTCGTGCTGCGACATAGGTCGGGGGCGTCCAACAGAGTGACTGATGCGCTCAGTCGGCGGACGCTACTGCTTGCTGAGCTCCGCGTCTCGGTGGTTGGCTTTGAGGTCTTGCGTGATGTTTATCCAGAGGATCCTTTCTTTGGCCCGATTGTAGGCCGCCTACGTGATGGCCCTTTTGAGGACTATACGTTGTCTGATGGGTTCTTGTTTCGTGGTATTCGTTTGTGTGTGCCAGAATGCAGTCTTCGCCAGAAGCTCATCGCAGACCTCCATGGGACTGACCACGTGGGGCGTGATCGGTCAGTTGCATTGGTGGGCCGGTCTTATTTCTGGCCGTCGTTGCGCAGGGATGTGGGGCGCTTTGTGGCTCGTTGTCGTGTATGCCAAGTATCGAAAGGAGTCGCGACTAATGCAGGCCTGTATCGGCCCCTGCCGATTCCATCCTTGCCTTGGCAGGCCATCAGTATGGACTTTGTGCTGGGCTTACCTTGTACACAGCGGGGATTTGATTCTATCTTCGTCGTAGTGGATCGTTTTTCCAAAATGGTGCACTTCATTTTATGTAAGCGCACTACTGATGCTGTTCATGTGGCTCAGTTATTTTTCTGGGAGGTCTACCGCCTACATGGCCTGCCATCGTCCATTGTGTCCGACCGTGATACTCGCTTTTTGAGTTACTTTTGGAGGAGTTTATGGCGCATGGTGAACACACGCCTCGACTTCAGCAGTGCGTACCACCCTCAGACTGATGGCCAGACGGAAGTGGTCAATCGGTCCTTAGGTGACCTGCTTCATTGTTTGGTGGGCGACAACGTTCGATGTTGGGACCAGCGGTTG